ACTCTTTTTCTATCACTCTGTAGTATACAATTGGTGCAATTCTCCTTTTGTAAGTAATCATTAATAATATCAGTCATCTATAATACTGATAATACTAAAAAATGACATCATTATAACATAACGTTTAACATAATGTTAAATAACCTTCTTCCTCTAGAAAAATTTGATGTTTCGGACTAACAAATTTCTACAAATACTCTCCAATTGTTCGACATGTCATATGTATCTCGAGTCATACCCTGTCTCGTTCACGGCCTCGTTATTTGCATGTAACTCGGTGATAACTATTATATATACACAAGCAAATGTTCTGTCAATTAGTGTTCCGTTAATGCGGCGGCGTTACACAATTGGTTAGCCGGGCCATGCTTCCAATCTCCGGTACGGGACTTTCGTGGCCATTTGACGGCTTTCCATTTCTTTGGAAATCGCTAATTTGCTCGTCAAGGCCGTCACACTTTTCAGGCTCACCAGTGAATCACGTGTGCCCCGATAGAAATATATTACACCGTGGATTTACACCGTAAGGTTGACCCAATTAATTTTGTATTGATCGTCTGGTACAGGTTCTTCGATGACACTGTTGAATTTCTACAGGTGGAAGATGACGTAAGTTATACAGGATGTCCCATAAATATTATTATGAATATTAACATTTTTATCATACGATTACAAATATCTATTACTTCTATATACCAGTCGAAGTGTATCTGTATATTTGGACAAATGAAAAAATTAATTTAATAGAAAGAAATTTTCTTGGCTGCATTATTATTAAATGAAATTATTTTCTAACTACAATTTTGTATCAAATTATTGTGAATTGCTAGAGTTAGTATTGCTAATCAATGATTAGGTCATTATCAAATATACTATGTCAACTTTCATCTAATGAATGAATATCACGATGAAAAGTTATTTAATTTTTGAAACGAGTTCATATACGAGATCCATATAAGATAGAAAAAAGTCTGATAATAATTTAAATATATGAAGATCGAATTTCTGATATAAATGCATATATTAATTTTTAGGGTTCAATTTACAAAAACTAAAATCAAATAGCTTGGTGAATCTTGTTTTATCTTATACTATATGTATCTATATAAATACATAAAATCTGCGATTTAATTATAGGGCAATGTATGTATTAAAATCATATAATTGAATTCATTAAGACGGTGACCAAATTAAGAAACGCTGATGTGCATCCAATTTATTCGTCACTCGTTTATTGATTAATAAATCAACGGTACTATTTGAATTTTAATGTATTACATATGAAAACTAGTACAAAACCAATGATTCGTGTTAACAGGTAATTATTGTGTTCTTAATTAAACTAGTTCAATGGGACAGTTTAATGGGACAGATCAGGGAACCATTTAACTCGAAATTTTTTAAACGATTCCGTTATTTGTTATGCCAATGTATCTATCCTAACGTATTCTAATTTTCGCTTCAACATTTCTAGGCAGAATGCTTTCTTCATTTACATAAATATTTTGTAACAATAGATCATTATGTGTTATTTTATTGTCTTGACACATGAATCTGTATGATTAGAAACCATTCAACGATGAGTTTCGCTGGAAGAATGGAGCTATGCGCGAGTTTCGTAAGGGAACCACCATAGCTTAACGCTATATGGTAAGTTAACCTTCTCGCGCTACAAAATGCTCATTTGCAATATTCTTTTTATGCTTGCAACCTAATCCGCAATTATGTTTTGCATAATCAAATTTCAATTTTCTTGTACAAGTACCAGGGAAATCGTTGAAGCTTCTCCTTTTTCTTCTTTGAAACGAATTTATATTATGGCTTCCTTAATCAAAAGAGAAGAATGAGAAATTACAATTATTAAATTTCCTATTTCAGTTATTGAATACATATTAATGTAATTTAGTTGTAAATTAAGTTACGTTACATCTTGTTTAGATGTACATATTTCAATGAAACTGACTATTAATTATCGTTGTTTAGTAGGAAGTTTATTTGTTGATTAGTAATTATCGTTGAATATCGAGCGGTTTCACGGAGAAAAATATACGAAATGGAAAAAAATATAATATATCAAAGTATTTGATTGAACTGGGTTATCATTATTCAACGGTTATCTTGTTAAACCTCAATGTTTTAGAATAATTATTTCTAATATGGGGATGTTTTTGAATAATCTCTGTTTAATTGAGTGAATTATAGTAATTCGATTCAGTTGGGGCTCAACAGTGACCCCCACAGCATTCAATGTGTTAATTGTCAAATTAATTTATATAGTACAATACTTAGTCAGTATTCTGTGGAATCATCGAAACTCACAAAAAGTCTTATGGAACAAATATTTCGGATATTTAACGGATATTTCATATTTTTATGATATCAGTAATTAGAATAACAGATTTTTGTTTAAATGTCTAGAAACATTCATTATAATATGAAAGTGCAATTATTAATTTGTAAAATAATTCTGGATATTTAATGCTTCTATGATATGAATAATTAGATCAATAGGATAATTGCAAAATAGGAAAACTAAAACTTGTCATTTTTACGGATTCAAATGTTCTAGTATTAATCACGTTTGACGAGTATATATGTCATTTTAAAGCTTGAAATTCTTTCAATGATGAATTCCTAATTTTTTCACATGAACATTGAATTCTTCTTTGTTTTGCTTCGGTTCTTCATTAAAATATATCCTATATTTTAATACCTTATACATTTCATTTTTTAATTTTATTCCGCGCAAGACGAGAGATTTTTTTAACTAAATTTCACAGTTAACAGGTTAAGAACCACTGCTACACAGTGTTGCAACGAACGTAATTTACAACAAAGGCTTGCTTTCGGGTGAAATAGACCCAAACGGTGCGCCAGGGCTAGATAAAAATCGCTCGATCCCATAAATCATCGTCCGAACGTTTGAACACCAGAACAATCGAGCAGTTGAATTGACTTTTCGAAATTATTCTACAGAAATTCCTATTAAGATTTTCCACTGATCTACAATTCAGTTTGCGTATTGCTAAATCAATTTCTGTAGTAATTTCTCAGATAATCATCTGCTATCTTTTCAATAATTGTAAAAAGAAGAAACCCGGAGTAGGTTGGTTTAACAAATCTGGTAGTTCTAGTGTTAATACTAGACCAATGACTAGTCAAATGATTTTCAAATTTGATTAAAAATTCAACATTTTATTTTGCCCGGTTAAAGTAAAAGCACCAGCAGTTGACTAGTTCAGTAAAATTTTCTGCGTGAATAATAGTAAACGCTTATTTCTTTATTAAATGGGGAGACTATGTATAAGAATACTGTTTCAACTTCTTATATTATGCAACAAAGCGAGCTTTTTTAAAATAGTTATATCATGCAAATTTTATAGATATTTTTAAAAATTCAATACTTGCGTCAGAAGTATTATATTCATACTATTACAATTACACCGCCCTTGAAAACATAATTTTTTATATTTTCCTAAAAAATGTCCAACTACTGACGTCAGGCCAATTACTTGATCCCAGTGACGACAATCTTATTTCATACACACATAATAGATTATTTTAAACTGTATCACTCTACACAAAGTCTTTAATACACAAAATTATAGTATATATTCGCGTAAAATAGATAAAAATAAAATTCTTCGCACAAGACTCTGCCAAATCTCTCAAATAATTTCCGGCGCAAGAGGTTAAGGGTGGCAATAACCATAGTAGGGGTTTCAAAACAGTCGTTACTTGATTCGGTTCGTAGCGCCCAGCCATAAAATAAATTACTCCGACCGACCTAATTGGGAGAATGATGAACTTTCGAGGAAATTTCGTGTTTCGTTCATTCTAGCGCGTCGTTAATCGTGCAATTGATTTTCTCTCCACGCGAGGAGGCGTTCCAACGATTCTCCTTTTCGAAATCTCGCCAAGCGTGGCATCGGGTACGCACAGACCAAACCAAGGCGACCCGTTTCCGGTTCCAGTCCAAGAAAGCGTGCACGGTCGGCACAGCGGCAGACGTGAATCGCATTAGCCTCCTTCCTCCTCCGGTATTTCAGAGAGAGAGTTTCTGTCTTCATCGATCGGTGCCCCGGACATATCGGCAATGTATCGAAATTCACGGTGCATCGTGTGAAATCCTAAATGCGGATGATGCCCGGTAATCGAATGAGAATCGATCGCTCCGATACCGAATCGACCGGAGAATCTATAATCGCCCTCTCGCATCTGTACCAAGTACTGTGGAATTGAGTTATCGGCGAGTAAGAAGTTTCGAATTGAAAATCATTATTTGTGTAACAATTGACCGATTGTCGCATCACATAATTCAGACAACGGGTATTAGAAAATATTGGAAGCTTTTTCATTTGACTTGAAGCATTTTTACAACTTGTACGACGATTTCGTGGCTATTTATGTCCAAAAGTAAAAAAGGTAAGTCATAACAAATTATTGCTTAACTTGTTACCTGTGGAATTTAATTTCAGAAATCTCCGATAATGCTCGCAATGAAATCAAATGATGAAGTGTATACTCGTCTAATGCAGGTCAAATGCGCCTATAATATATTCTAACAAAAAATTAAAGCAAAACGGAGGAGAATTACATGTTTGTCTGAAGAAATAAAGAATTGGTCGTTGAAGAAATTAGTGTCATTTTGATGTTAAGATGACGTGTATACTCATCGAACGCAGTTAACTGGTTAAAAAAATGAAACGTGATCAAGATCAGTTATTTTCATCTGCGAGGATCGATAGAACTGAATATTACGATATTCAAAACGACGAAAAAAGAAGAAGGAATGGTTCAATGATCGACAACCTATTTCTCCTTGACGAATATGAAACGTGTAATGGGATTGATCTCTAGACAATTTTTTTTCGTTGATATCTCAAGGTATTCTAGTTTTGAGGAACGCCTCCGTCATCAACGGTTAATCATTAGTGAATCAGCCGAATTTGAAATACGTTGAACTCGGACTTTGAGCCGGAAGGACACGTGGATCTTACCTCTTTTTGGCTCCACACAACGTTCACTGAAGGTTTGCCACGGCGGAAGTCTGGCTGGTCGATTACGTCGTCGTGTATCAAGGAGGCGTTGTGGATCATCTCGGAGATCATCGCTACCTGCCGCTGCGACGCCAAGAGATCGCTGAAACAGGATGATTCCGTTTTTGATGGATCAATCCATTGCTCTTAATCTGTTCAGCTGATCGACGAGTTCAATTAACAGTGAATGATCTTATACAAGATTAAATATTTAAATATTAATTATTATATTATTGTACAAGACTGTTTGAAGTATTATTTAATACTATTTTATTGAATATTAAATACTAAACAAGTAAATATTATTTAAATATTTATTACTTCAAATATTATATTATTGAAATTATTTAATTATTAAGATATTAGTATATTGCATTAGAAATTTTCAGATTTTTTAATTATTTCAAATATTAGTGTCAAAGTGTGATAAATTGATGCTCTAGTAATCTAATCTTATGAAGTTTCTCGACATTTTTATTACAAATTCAATTGCTTTTTCGAATAAGCAGTTTAACAAGTCAACCTTGTTATAAATTTTATGCTCCCATAAAAACTTTTTGGCCATAACTTTCAATATTCCTTATGTTACCATCTTAAGTTATTAACAAAGATAATATTACAAGTTCCTTTTCCTTTCCTCAAGTAGAAAAATTATATCACTCCATAAAAACTTATTCTAAATAATCCATATTATTAAAATGAAACACAAAGATATTTTTAATTTTCACCAAGAGACAGCTTTCCTTGATATGCAGCGCGATGACCATTTTAACGCGCTCGCTGCCGATGACGTACCATTTACGTCATCGCATGCGTATAAATTATCTCGAGCCGCGTAATCTATTACAAAAGATAATAAAATTGTGTTGGCAGTGGACGCATTGAACCTTATTTTCCGTATACTTTGAACAAATAAAAGATCGCAGAACGGTTACTGGTTATTGATCGATGTCTTATTTGTCACCGCGGTAATTTACGCGCGAACGAACGTCAGATCGAATGATTTAATCTACGTGTGTGCGACGGATAAGCTTTCTTCCTCCGGATTCGCACGAAAAAAGGATTGACTCGACCGATAGATGTGGACAGACATTAATTCTCGCTGCGAAGAGAAAGGAATGGCAATAAACGTTAAGTCAACGCGCTGCAATTGCCTCTGTCGCGTCGGCTTAGGTTTAGTAGATTACTATATCCATTACTCTTGACACACATACACCGTGTCCAATTAATAAGATGTGAAAGACCAACGACGTGGCTTGGACCTGTTTAACGACACATGACGGTTCTACGAGGCACTCTTAATGGCGTGCATCGTGAAGTGGCTTTAATGATGAAATTCGTCTTTGATAATCATAATGCGGTTTACTGGGAATTCAATAGAATCGAGTGTACAACTATATGGAAGAAAGTAACTATATTGATTTGTGCATTTTTAATAATTCTTCTTCGATGTTTCGTATTTTCTGATTTTAGGTAAATAATATTATTTGAATTTATAAATATAATAGATTGTGCTTTTTTGTTTATGTCGAATGTGATGGTAAAATATAAGAAAATACAGACTGTGGACATATTCTTTTTATCCCTTTTTTTCGTAGATTTCTCTTTGTTTAACAGAATTATTAGAAATTTGATAAGTGTATTTTATGTGCTATGTAAAATTTTTAGGTTCCGTATATTTCTTCGCATTCACTTGCACAGGAGCGAATTTTTATGTAATACTGTTTTTGGCCTTTGATAAATAACTTGAAAAATTATTATATTATAATAAAGTATATTATACTATATAATATTTCAAAAAAGTATATTATACTACATGATATTATAAAGAAGTATATTATATTATATCATATTACAAAGTATACTACAACTATATTATTAAAAAAATTAGGTGGAGAAAGTAAAAGCCTTCGATAAGAAACGTAAAAAAAGTAGGTGAAAAAATGACGATAATTATGCTGAATGAATATTCCTGTCTCAAGTATTTGCTCTCCACAATACTACGGTGTGTGGCCAAGCGAGGATTAAGGAGATGATCGTGGAATTTGGCACCTTGAATAATCGTTGGCAGAAAATCCGACAATGTAGGGGATTGTCCTCGTCGGTCTCTTAGTAACACGATGGTGTCATAGTTACTACTATTTACAATTCGCTGAGCATATGCGATAACGTACTCTACACTGGTTCTCATTCACGGGACATCTCATTCATATTCATCGGCGTCAATTCGCCTACGACGACAGGTAATTGCTTTCAAAGCGATTTATGAATTTGAAGCAGATCGCGTTACGACTTCTGGCATTCTTACGGTGCTTTCTAAACCTCGCGGCGCCATATCGTTTTATTGAAGTCACTTTCCGTTTAGCACTTTCGGGTTGGGTGAGTTTAATCCTTTACACTCGTATGTCATGCTGGAGATGACAATACAAATTTTTTGGCACTTTGCGGCAAATTTGCGCCCATGTGCGACGAAGATTCCAAGCGGAATTTAACAAATAATATCATCTAACCCTTTGATTAATTAAATATTATTTTCCTATCATCAATCGTAATTTTCTAAACTAAATATAGATATAGAATCAGCATGAATTGCTCTCCTTATTCTACTGAATTAGAATCAATAAAACAGTTCTATCGAGTGTAATTGTGAAGTAAATTCGAAGGAAAGGGGTTAATAATAACGGAACTAGAAACCCGAAGGAAACGTTCTCCGTGGATCACCAATGACCCACTAGGTCGTGACCGTGCATCCGCTAAGAAAACCGAAGCGCCTGGCGATACTATAATTCATACCAGTGAAAGTATGATCCTAGAGAAAACGGTGGCTGCGGTGGGTCATCAGTGACCCACGTGGCAAGGCACGTGTTACGAAAGATATTTATGTTACTTCACGCGATCGGGGGAATATTCTGCCTCGTCCTTCAAACATTCCACAGAAATTGATTGCCGTTCGAGACGGTCGTAAGCGAATGAAACGTTAATGCGTCTGGTTGAGGAGCGAGCCGTGGCAGCGGAAAAGACGTGTGTGCAGAGGGAATAACATACAATCGACAGAAATCGGCTCCTTCGCCCTTGATCCGTGGAATTTCATTTAAACTACCTTTCCAATAATTTCGTATGATTCGAAATGTTTTATTTAACCTTCACGTTGATAAAACCGCCAAAATGACTGGTTTCAATTTCCTTATGTCGCAATTGTTGACACCTTAAAGATGTTAAATATCTGAAATGATTTTAACCCTTTGCACTCGAGAGGGGACTCTTAGTCACCACTTTATTTGATACAGCGAAACTATGAAATAGAATATTTAATATTTTAAATTAAACTTTGTATTGCAGTGTGAAATATAATCAATAAAATAATTAATTCTATAAAAGAGTTAATTCTCATAAATTAGTTTGAAACAATGTCGTCTGTATCTCGTTGGGAGATGTTGAATATTTCCAGTGAAAAACTTTCGAGTGCAGAGTTAAACATAAGTAGCTTCGCTTGAACACTATAATGGATGTATGAAGGAAACAAAAGAAAATATATTGCTACAATTTTTATGAAAATTACATATTAATTATACTAGAAAAACAAAGATGAATTATTGGTAGGGAGAGATATTACTATTAAAATTATTACTAGAATTAATATTAGAAGTTTAAATGTTGCTGTAGATAAAATACAATAAGCAGTATGAGTGTGTGTGAAAGAAATGCGTGAATGATTAAGATAGAAATATGTACAGGACGAACCAATTTCTTATTCGTAGCCGCTGAGGCTGAATAAACTATACTATATTATATATATTATATATATATATATATATATATATATATATATATTAATATTATAATACATACAATATATATTGAAAGAAACAAGTTTAAGTTAATTTCTTTCATAATTAACAAAGATATAGACGATTAAAATCAAGCATAACCAAGGGTTCGAATATATATAATAATATAATTATAATATTAATATAGTATAATACTAATATAATTATATATATATAATATTATTATAATCATTACATATATTGATTATACTAAATGCTCGGTAATTCTAGTGTCAAATTACTTCGCTAAATTCTGATTTCGCGCATAGATTTGCGGTTTAGTCATCGTATACTACGTCGACGACGCTTCCACGATCGCAGCGGGCATGCTAACCGCTCCAAAACGTGGAAAACATTCATCGACGGCGAACTTGAAAGAATCCGCGACAGGCGTGCCTCTCACAACTCACTTTCTTTCCTTGTGGTAATTGATAGCCCGCGCCATGAGAGTTGCTACCATCGGCCGGAGTGCCTTTCCCTTACCATCGAAGTAGTACGTCGCTATAGTTTGCAGCTCCTTCTGCGTCGTGTTCCTGATGAGTACCTGAAACAATGGGAAACGTAACCTTGACTTCGAATGGTGGCACGGAACTCCCGTTGTCAGGGTAAATCGGGGAGAGATGGTCCAGTTTTTTTTTAAAGAACTATCTAGTAAAGTATATGGGAAAGTTCTGTTTGTATTTTAATTAAAAGAAACTAATAGATTTTCAATAATGTTATTAATGTTTACTGAATATAATTTCCATCGTTACCAATGACCTTTTCTTAGCGTAATGATAATTTGCGGATTCCATTTCTGTGGAATGACTCATCTCTGGAAACTTGAGATGACATCATCGGACAAAATCTTCCGGTAGACCTGGTATTTCTTTTTGTTAGGTGTCAATGGTATCAGGTACCCCGAAAAGGTTTTGCCGATTTTTGTTAAGTGGAATTTCCGGTATTGTTATAATAACTATACATCGATTGTGTAATGTAATTTTTTATTTTAACTTATGGAGTGAAAAATTAATACTTGCGTTTAGTTTTAATCGTCTATGTATTGACCGTCGTCGTGTATGAGCTTTTTCTATTCATTTTTGCATTAGAAAATGGTACCAGAAAGTATCTTACAAGGTAAGATAAGCAACGACATTTTTTAATATTAATATTCGGTAATATTCATTGCTAATAATTACTATTAATATTCGCTAATATTTATTACTAATAATTAATATCAACATTCAGTAATATTCATTACTAATAATTAATATTAATGTTTGCTAATATTAATTCACTAATATTCGCAGCCTGTAGAATATCATCGGAATGGAGAACAACACGATCATCCCAAAAAGATATGTTCGCCTCTACGAAGTCCCGTTTCATCTAATCAGCACAGACAACATATTATTTTAATTCAATGCAGGTGTTACATATATTATTCTAAACCAATTTACTAGTTGCCCGAGCATAGGCAATGGCTGCCCATAAGACGATGATGATTTGTATACGTGACGAACGCGCGATCGCTAGTTGCAAGCACGATAGAAGAAGAGTAGACGGACCGCTTTGAATTCCAGCCGCGACACAAGCTGAAAGTCCGGCCTGGAATTTGGCCAAAGTCAAAAGGAACGTTCGTTAGTGGCTCGCTTTGCAAGCTTACGTCACAGACGCTTTCCGTATTGTCTCCGATCACCTGATCGGAAGCTACGAAATCGATGCACTCATAATTAGGATCGATTTGAATGTCCTCCTAACTGTAAATCGGAATTCGGAATTCTTCGTATTCCTTCGTATAGATATTCATCGTATTAATTAGTCGAATGATTAAATAGAGAAATGTAAATAATCGTTCGACTAATTACATTATCCTATCTACTTTCTCGGATAATTTACTTTCAGTTTTTCTATTTCTTTATCAAATAATTCTAAGTAGTTTGTTTTTTATTCGAGTTACAACTGATTCTATTTTTGCACGAACTTTTTTTTAGAGATTTATTCAACACGAATTATTTTCCTCCTTTTGCATGATTTGTTTGATTTAACAGAAGTACTCAAATTTTAAGATGAATTTTTGTTGAGTTTATTGTATCATTTTTCTGATTTCTTAGGTCTGGAACAAATTTCTATTTTTCTACCGGTATAGTACATTTTTACACGGATTGAATCTATCCTGTAAAAATAGAATTGAGTGTATTTTACTTTCAATTCATTAGATATGCATCACTAATACCTTCCACGATATAAATATTAATAATCTATGTGTGATTCATTCAATGTTTTCAAAAACTGCATTATACAAAACTCTCAGTTGTAGAAGGAGAAACAGAATTAAGTTCAAACAATCAAAGAAACTATATTTTGTTTTTGTAACGTATTAGAAATGAACGTTAAACATTATAAAATTATATGAATATTTGAAACGTATTCTAGTATAAAATATTGTACAATTATTTTTTCGTTCATAAACGATAAATGAACAGATACGAGTAAATTGAAATGTGCAATTGGAAGGTCGACGTTCGTTGTAAACCGATGACGTGTTTAACAGTCCGATTCCCACCGAAAAAGGGCACGAAAATTTGAAAGCGCAGAAGGAGTCACGTGCGTACGACTTCCGGTTCTTAAGAATGGAGCGTGGATCCTCCGGTTCTAATGCGTCAGAAGAATGTGACTTTTCGATTCGCTCTACTTTCCGCCAGCTAATACGCACAGATAAAAACTGAAAAGTGGATGATGGATGTGCCGAGCAAAAGAAAGCTAACTTGCATAGGTAGGTCTGTTGTAATAAATTAACCTGACAGGATAGGCGGCAAAATAGATAATTTATAACTAAAATGAAAAATGGAAATTTTAGTAAAGTAGAATATATATATTTAATATTGTTCTACAATTCTAATGTTTTCTTTTAATTATTTAGTATTTATATTATAAATTATATGAATCCCAAGATTTTAATAATACAATTTTTAATAATTCAAAATTAAAAGAAGATTATTATAAATGAATCTTATCAAGGGCAATCAATATTATTTACTTGAAAATTTGTCATGCTTCCCGATACCTATTAACACAAGTGAACTCACAAGAATAATTCAATGTTGAAGAAAACAATTTATAAAACATCAGAAGCGATATAAAAAAGAAAACACATGACACTTCCAAAGGGAAATACAAAAAGAAAAGAATTATTTACATTTCACATACACATTAGAATTATTTGTATAATAATTATCTTATTGATAAATAAATCTTAGATGGACGTGATATTAATTAATGTTCCCAATGATTTCTCACATAAATTAAATACATAGAATAAATCACGACTTCTTGATAATTCTAAAGGTATACAAATAAATCACTATTAATCCTAACTTTTTAATTTACAATTCCGTAGGAAATATTAATGTGTCCGTGAAATCATATTCCTCATTCAGGAAAACAAGAAACAAGCTTCGCTATGGATCGATTTGCATCCGATATTTGCCAGACAACTCATCGAAACGTCTTTCAAGGGTGAGCCAGGTGGGCAGGTAGATGATCCAGTGTCCAGCCTTGGCGACACGTAACAGCGCGACAATCCGTGTTATCGCGTTCCATGGTGCAACGAGAAAAGTGCTTTCTAAACGCGCTTGTACGCGCATACGCAAATACAATGGCGGAGCTGGGCGCGAACGCGAGTAAAAGTTCTACTCTCGACCATGTATGCGGGCCGTGAAGCCAACTGCTTTCGCTGCCGCGTGAAGCGCTTAAAGCATAGACACCTTGTCGTGAAAACGGCATTCCTTACTATAAATATTTATAATTACGCATGGCAGACGGTCGTCGTAGTTTTGGTTAGAAATTCAAAGCAGAGAAAGGAAACAGGGGAAGAAACGAGAGAAAGAAAGAAAAACAGAAAGAAAGAAAGAAAGAAAGAAAGAAAGAAATAAGGAAAGAAAGAAAAAAAATAAAAAGATAGAAAGGAAGAAAAATAGAAAGATAGAGAGGAAAAAAATAGAAAGATAGAAAAAAAGAAGGAAAGAAAGAAGAAATAAGAGTTCAGGCGACCAGAAGTCTCGCGGCGTCGTGCAATGACGAAAGACGCGGTGATGCAAATCTGCTAGCCAGTTCGTGACACACTGTCACCGCCCTGGCTGGAAGCCTTCGCGAGCCACAGGCAGTCTTTCCCTTCCTGATCTGGTCCACCTATTCCCGTTGAAACGCACTGACGGAAGTACTTGGCAATTCGAGGCGAACCGGCGCGCCGCGGTTTCCGCCGAAAATGGCAGCAGGAAGTCGACTTCAGTGAGTTGGTGTAACGTTCCATCGGTGTAACTTATGATTTTGATAAAATATGCAAGACAGGATGATAATTGTGGTTTTTTATTATTTTTCTGCTTTTCTTAAACGTGATTGGAAAACGGTTTCTTTGTGTAGTTTGTTACTTGCAGATTGGCGTTGGAAATAGCATTTGAAAAGTATTTCGCTGTGGTCAATATTTTGTCTGCCAAAAGCTTGTTAATATACTACACAATGACTGTTACATTATTTTCTTTTATACACAGTGAACATTGGATAATTGCAACATCAGGATATCTTTATAATTGCTACATCGTCATCCCCATCATATCCGCATCAGGTTCCTTTTAACACACGCTCAACGCTATGCAACACTGTAACATGGTCCGACCACATCGATATCTCTTTCTTTTCTCTATCTGAGTTTTCAATCGCTTATTATGATCGTAATTCTATCGTGTTTGATGTCGTTTGAATAAAAAAAATATAATAAACATGACGGTGAAAGTTTCATTCGTGAAGAGGTAAAAAGTTTGATTTTTGAGTTAAAGGTCTTAAGCTCATTGCGAGCCTTTAATTTAGCCTTCTTTTTCCTTCACTCGTTTTGCCCATATCTACATCCGCCATGTTAAAATCTTTGTTTCTTAGGATGAATTCGATTGTACCCCTTCATAATTGCAACGTTCCGGTCTCGTTGAGTGTGGCAATTATCCAATGTTCATTGTAGTAATCTTAAGAAAAATCGTTACATTATGTTAAACGAGATGATTTACTGATTTACGATTATGGCTGCTATTGCCATTGAGAATTTCCTTCGGAAATTCTTAGCTGTTAATCATGGATCTTTAAAAGATTACTAAACTATCGCCAGTAGATAAAGTGTTAAATTTGACAATTTGGCTATTGGATGTGATATTAATGTTTAAAAGTTTTAAGGAATAAATAAACGTAAGTGAATATAATTATATTTTTAATTAAAAATGAAATACCGAAAATGCAGCGTAGACTTATGAGAATTAACGCGGTTATTTGGATTAATGCAGATAGAATTTAATATGAACATAGTAATAGATAGAAGAAAATTTAAACAACAAATTATAATATTCTTAGAAATCATTTATGCAATTATTTGAATTAGAATAATAAGTTTTCATAATATATTAGCAGTTCTTATAATAAATGCTTTTAAGGAATTATGTTCGAAGAAATAAACCCTTTCCATCGATTAAAACTGTGCAACAACATTGCGTCTTTCAAAATGACAATGAGAAATGCCAACGTAATCCTGAATGGAATCACTACAAACATGCTTAAGAATTACGTATATACAATGTAAGGTGCCAAGGTAAGTAGTTGCTCAAGAGAATAAAATGACTCACATTTGTTATGTTCAATAAGTACTAAGCAAGTTTCAAAGTCTGCGATTACAAGGATTAATGTCACAATCTTAATTAATGACCATTACACATACTATCGTTTGGAAGCATGAGATCACGATTAATGATTATGATTTATGAAAGAAAATAAAACAGAAGATAATAAAAAGTGGTACACTATACATTGTCTTTAGTTCATTAATTAAAGGGTTTTTCTATTTCATTTCTTTTACAATTATTCATTTCAACAAGCAATATTTTATTTTTTTCCCTTTATAATTAATAGCTTTACGGATTATAGAATTTTCCCGTTTGAAATAAGTTTATTGCACCATAAAAGCCATAACACAGTTTGTCCTCTAATTAGGTGATTAGTTTTCCATCATAAAATTCTCATTAAGCAGAACGAAAGTTACTTCGATAAGAAGTACCTAAGATAACATGACCAATAATTTCACATAACTACAAATCTTTTTATAAACTTTTCTATAAACAAAATTTCTTTACATTTGCACATGCTAATTTTTTTAAAAAATAATATACATTAATAATTTTCCCCGAAGAATTAAGATTCCATATACTTAACCAAAAACATTCAAAGAGTTATTAATTTAAAAAATCTCCCAAAAATATTATAGATAAACTTTACACAGTCACAGTTACAATTTTTTTCTATAATAAATCATTAAGTACATCTGAAACTACAATCTTGAAGAATCACTAATTCGAACCACTGTTTGAACCGTTACGAAAAAAAAATTCTATCAACTTGATTAGAAAAAAAGGTGTCTCTTTATACTGAAAAGGAAATGTTATAGGGTCACAAACTTTATACGGTCACAGTAACTCATTATTTTCTTTTCCACTGATATTTTTCCGTCACCGTGGGTTTCTTGAAGAAACGGTGTTTCCCAACAGTTCCTAGTACGGGCGGATAGAAGGCACGTAACGCTACTATTTACGGGGACACAGCTTCCTCATTTTTTCGCGTAACTGAACTGGTCTCTACGCGGAAAAATACGCATTGCATCGTAGAAAGTGGACAGACGGAACGCGTCGTGTTAATTTGATAAAGGCAATGAACGTTACAGTCAGTGTCGTCGAGTGTCGGACGACGATTGTCCCACCGCGAATAAAATACCAGGTTCCACTGACCTCTCGTATATTGTCGTAGACATCTTTAAGGTCGTCTTCCAGAAGTCGGTACGGGTCGACTTGGTAATCGGGCATGGATCCGGGTAGTTGCGTTTGCATGGAACTCATCATCCTTGTTCTGTAGTCTCGTATGCTCGTTCTACTCTGCAAGAAAGAACATTGATTCATTATTAATGGTAGCAGAAGTGAATAAAAAGTGTCACTTTTATAAATGTTGTATTTAAAAATGTTAAAGTAGTGCAGTGCTTATAATAATATAATAATATAATAATGTAATAATGTAACAAAATAGCAATATAACAATATAACAATGTAATAATGTAATATTATAACAATATAACAATATAACAATATAACAATATAACAATGTAATAATATAATAATATAATAATATAATAATATAATAATGTAATAATATAATAATGTAATAATATAATAATGTAATAATATAATAATGTAATAATATAATAATGTAATAATATAATAATGTAATAATATAATAATATAATAATATAATAATATAATAATATAATAATATAATAATATAATAATATAATAATATAATAATATAATAATAATATATGATAAACAACATTTATAATAAAGTACATAGTTAATTATAAAAACATATAGAACGAGACACATGTTGCACACTGTTATATTACATGATTTTATTACGATATTATTATGAAACATATAATAAAGTACGTAGATACTGATAAAAATATATAAAGTAAACTTAATACACTGCAGACTGTGATAATTTAAATTTACACAGATATAATTGAAGTCATAAATCATTAATGAAATCACTACTTCATCCAAAAATTGAAATATTGTTCGGTGAAATGGACTATAATGATTAATTGGTAGGATGAAAGTATAAGTGACTGTGACCAATCTTGTGGACGTTTATCATCTGCTTCAATTATTTCTAATTTATTTCGTATGTCTTGTTACTGGTTTACGGAAATTTATTTCCCATACTAAAAGATTTTACTGTTCTGGTAATAACAAGTATACGATCTTAAATTATCTCAAAGTAGTTATTTTATATCAACTTTAAAGTATAATTATTGTCATCTGCTGCAGAAGGAATTACAAGCTTCTCGTTTCTCATGATTCATTTTATTACCCCTTTATTATCTCTTTATACATTCCTAACAATTAACAAGGAATTCAACACTTTTAACAGATCATTCCATTTTACACAATGCCAATATTTATAACACGCTTTATTCTCTTATTTTAATCTAAGATTCATAGACTACGCAAGGCATAAACAAATTCCAGCAAAGTACATCGTAAAATATTAAACCAATCAAACTATCAAATATAACAAAAAAATTCAATTATACTTTACAGACACCTAACACAGACACAATAAAATACATTTAATATAATTCACAGAACAACCAGAGATCTCTATAATTTACAAATCATTAAGAAAAAAATTCATTTCTCAGAATAAAAAACAAACTCCAACTCTATTTTCTATTAACCCTATTCTCAAATACCGCTGAGTCACGAATACTTGTTCGCGTAATTGAATTTTCGATTCCACGTGATTCGTCGCGTTCCCTCGCGCCTCCCATTAAAATACTTTCGTAAGGGTTACGTAATCAAGCGTTACGACATTTAAAAATGTTACGTTCCAGGTATTTAACAGTGCTCGTTACAATCTTCTCAAACATTTACGCATTACTGAAATACTTCTCTAGTTTCACATGGCCGATAATTGAGAAAGAATACCGTGCAAAACGAACGGTCGCCGGGGACCAGCAATTCACCTGCACTTGTAAATATGAAACGATCGCATGGCATTTCGGTGAGAAAATAAATTGTGCCCCGGGCAAAGCGATCAACGGAATATTAACTCCATGAACGTGTTGCGTACGCTTGGCAAGCATCTCGCCAGATAATCACGTGCTGCTTACTACTGGCTCGGCCCGATCATACACAGACTGATACTACTTCACAGGTCGCGCCGGTCGTATGAACTGGTGATTTTACTACTCGAGAAGAACTTGTTTTCTAAGTGACCCACACTGACATAGGAATATTTATATTGGAGTTTTTGGAATAAATGGAGCTGCGTTAATCTACGCATAAGAAAAATGGTTTAAATGTTTGTAAGTGATTGTTATAAGACAAATTATGTTTAACAATTTTTCGTTGTTGGAAGGAAGTGATTTCTGTGGTTTGTAGAACGGTGGTGTATATTTTTCAGTTGTTTTAATGTTTGTATTTTTAATGTAAAATATATCGTATTTTTGGAAAATATTCTTTGAAAGTATTTGAAAATATTTGTGAATATTATGAAATTTGTGTATTTCGATTTGTGGGAAGATAGAGATTTGTAGACGAATGTGCATTTTTTGTTACATGTATTTTCATTTTTTCTATTAATGTTTTATTCTAATGCAGAGGAGTATCTTTTTCATTTAATTCACACATGAACAATGAGAATGTCAATATATATATATATATATATATATATATAGAAGTAAGGAAATTTATCTACTACATATATAGAGCACTTTTCATTTATCATTTTTAAGATCGTTCTATCAATAATGATATATCTTATAAATCGATTATTTATTTCGAATTTTCGAACTGAATATTTCGTTTAAATAATAAACAATAACCCAGATATCTCGTCTATGCTACCGCATAACAAAATTAAGGATTCGAGATATCCCGTCTACAATACAGTACCTACGACTCGTGTAACCGAGGTATCTCGTACATAATATTGCATCTACGAAACTATAGAACCAAGATATTTCATCCAAAATATTGCATCTATGCCACCATAGAACCAAGATATATCGTCATCCATTCTAAAGAACTGAATCCCTATCGACTTTTAACCCTTTGCATTCCAAAGGCACTCCTCAATTGACAATTGATTTGACGCAGCAAAATTGTCAAGTATAATATTTAACATTAAACGTTTTAATATAAAATAGTTTTGTTCCCCAAATTAATGTGAAATTTCTCGTCAAGTCAGTTTCAGAAAATGTCTATGTCTCATTAGGAAATGTTGAGTATTTCCAATGAAACAGTTCTCGAGTGCAACAGGTTAACCCATAAAGTTGCTTCCAAGGAAACCAGTCCGTTCCAGGCACCTGAATCCCGATTTCCTGTCAATAACCACGCGAGTCGCGTAGAATAACCAACGAACGCAGCTCGGAAAAGTAGCAACTGTTATTTACAAAATCCATCATTCCTCCGACTGTTTACGTTTGGTGGGCACGTAACGGCTCTCTCGGTGTCTTTTCCAGTTGTGCGGGCACTACACGTGCGAGCGCGCGCGCGCGGACACGCCGCCGCCGCTTCAGTGCCAAGACGGCATTCTTTCCCTGCTAGGTACATCGATGTCCACTTTCGTCATCGAAACTTGATTCTGATTCCCAGCGATTTCTTAGCATTCACCGCGTGCAATGGCGGCGACGTTCACTGACTGACTCGTTCGGTTGCTCGCGCGCGTGTTTCTCGGTGGCCGACACAGTGTGTGAGATCAGCCGGTGGATTGGGCATGTCAGGATGCGGTAAATGGCACCAACATGGCCGTTTCACAAGTTCGCTCGCTTCTCTTCGACGGTGGCTTTAATTGAGGTCACGGCAGGCAAATAATGCCGCGTCTCCCTGCGCTGGGAGGGACAACGCACTCGCTGAGGCGATCGCGACACGCTGCGCTGGCCAACTGCGCATCGGTCAACGCTGATTGACAAGTTAATACGAAAATAAATATTTACGAGGATAAGTGGACGGGTAACGGCGAGGTTCACCGGAGCGTTGATCGGATTTGAAGAGTATGAGGTTGTTGGGTTTGTTTTGTGTTAAACAATTGTCTGTTTCATCGCTTTGTTTGTTGATATTTTTCATGGGATTGTTTAATTTAATTATTGACTGTTATTTTATCCCTTGTTCTAGAATGTCGGGTTAGACTTGTGGTGAAGATTTCAAGCAAAAGTTAAGAAACTATTATTATTCAATTTGTTCGAATGAAAATTACATTTTAGAGCACACGTTGGCATAGAATACGACTGGAATTTTCCCTTATTTACAATAAATTATTAATAACAGAATAGTTAGGTCGATTACAGCACAGAAAACAATCATGGGGTAAGAGGTTAATTTGTAGGCTGCCCAATCTGTTTTTGTTGAATTTTGGAAAGAATCAACCCTTGGGTACCCACTTTTTTATTTTATTCGCTACGTTATTTTCTAGTGAAAAGACTAAACTACTTTGGTTTTTTAAATCTTTTTAAACCATTTGCGTCTTTGGCTTTACATATCCTCGTTAGTTCAATAATCGCTTTTATACTTTCCGTAACGAGTTATGTTACAAGATTTATAACCTGTGCCAATTATCCCTTCCACTTTTTTATAGTCTCATAAGTCACAATGCTTAATTTATTTCGAATAGTTTAGATGCTCTAAACTTTCTACTATTCACTTATTATTTTAACTCATCATTGTTTTCGTAATATATAAATCGGATAACATAATTTGTATAATTAACGTTTATATCAAACAGATGCAATTTACTCTTCTGAAAAGAATATCATATTTAAATACCTAATATATTCATACATTTCTAATTAATAGATACATGTATTTTATTCTTTCCAATAATTATTATAATTAATATTGTAACACAATATCATCAGCATGCCACTCAAATCTTTCTTCCCCACATTTCAGAACATCGCTTTCTGAAAAGCGTAAAATCCCCGAATTATTTATATTATCCCCTTTAACTCATCCTAAACCCAGCAACCGTACCATTCTTTAATATGTTCCACGGGTTCATTTAATTATACTTTACAGTCAAAGGTCGCCGTAATGGGATCTAAAATCTGCAAATCTAAAAGAACTGTAAACGAATAATTTAATTATTCAACTAACGAGAGACTGACACGTGGTTTTCTTTTAGTATTCAAGACTTCGATGCATCATTCAGATTTTTATGAAAAGAAACGTTAGAAGTGTAAGAGTCTCATCCGGAATTCAGTTTTATCTCAAGTGTGAAATTTAGTTTAAAAAATCTTTCATTGTGCACGCAATAAAACCAAACAATCAAATGTATACTGGCCAAACGTACCTCAAATGCATCCACAATATGTTCTAAC